TTTATTACTGCAGAGCAAGGCCCAGTAATGACATGGAGACCTACAGAAATGACCAAGAGAGGCATTTATAGGAAGAGAGACAATAGCGCATTTCTTTGGGGATCCAGGATTTTGTTAGGTGACACCAAGGGACGCATGTAATTCTGTGACATTTTGTCAGGCTCTTAGAGAGTAAATTTTCCTTTGCTGTGGCAGGAGGTAGAGAGACATTTTAGGAAGAGAGACAATGCACTGGCGAGAAGCTGACAGGAAAAAGAAAACAGGTGTTGGAGAGTTTTAGTGAGGAAGGAATTCTAAGCTAAGTTTCGGCTGAGGTAGTAGATTAGTAAAAATAAATAACAAAGTTTCTACAGCTTTCTCCTCTTAAGAGTTTCAATCACTGGCGATAAGGATGTTTTTTCACTTCTTAGTACAGGAAGGGTACATTCCGTATGGGAGATAGATTTCCTGAGTTCAGGGGGACCGAGGAGGGTCTGAGTGGTCTTGCACCGGTTGTTTCTCAAGCAGCTTCAGTTCAAAATAATCCCTGTGCCACTCTGGTACATTCTGGAAACCTACCATTGGCCCCTAGACCACACTGAGGAGGGAAGTCCAAAATAGGTCAAACACCTCAACTGATAGATAGTTTAATTAAATTTCAACATGAGGTCAACTAGCCCCATCAGCTTCACATGCGAATAAAAGAATAAAGGAGGGAGTAGCATTTGTATACGCTTTAACCTACAACTCAGCATAAATTGTAGGTAACTAAAGAACACAATTCAGGCATATTTTATGGGACATTGGAATTTCATTGCTTACCTTCGGCTGACAGAAATAGGCCATTTTCATTTTTAGTAAGTGCCAGAAAGTTTATACAAATTGATAAGATTTTTAATGGACTTGTTTCAGATTAAACAAAAATTAAACTGGGATTATTAATAACTCCAATGTCATTAAGTCATGTTTTCTATACTCATAAGTCCCAAATAGTCTTCAGAATAATTTGACCTCAAAGAATTCTCTATTACATTGTGCTTTAAGCAAAAAATAATGTCGTTTTTGGAAGCAGGTTACTCTGTTGGCTACTGGAGTTAGTAGCATACCCATTAATCTGCAACCAACAGTAAGTACTTAGGAATCCCGCCTTGACTTTATTTTGTGAGTGATAATATATATTTCTATATAGATAGTATGCTTCTGGAATCAAATCACAGTTAAATAAACAGTGAAAGTTGCTAAACTTCTTTTGTTTTTGTTTTGTTTTGTTTTTCATATGAGTCATACTTAAAAGCCTATCAGAATAACAATTATTTTTGGTTTAATTAGAAAATCTTAATTAACAATAAGGACTTAACCTTCATATTTTGGTTTCCAAAAATATTTTAAAAATTAACACCATGTGAATAAATAAGACAATCTCTTTAAACCTCAAGGCAGGATTACCGATGCAGGCAGACCGAGTTATTAAACACATTCTAAATTAAACGCCTCTATGAATTTTATACTGAAATATATTGTGATAGTTTTGCATGCCAAATGTGACATTTTGTATTTTAGATTCATCTTCTGTAGTAATTTTGGAAATGTCATACAAACAAAGATTTTGTCATTTACCAATGGAATTACTATGCATGGTTGCTTAGGCATCTCTTCGCTGGTTCTTGTGGTTGTTTCAAGTCAGCAAGCCATAAAAAATCTTTATCTCTCTGAAACACAGCAATTTGGAAGATAATCGAATGGTGACTAGGGGGCAGAAATGCCAGTCTGAGGAATTATACCACAATCTCTCTTGCATTTACAACCTTCCTCAAAGCGTATGTCAGATGAGTAGGGAAAGAAGACAGAAGATTCATCAAATCTCAAACCTTGTCTCATTTGCATGGTGGCAGCTCTGCCTCATTGTCTAGTGACAACCCAGCACGGTGCCAGGGACACCGTTTTTGAGGATTTCCAAAGGGTTTACAACTGAGAATTTTAGCTGTTCTATCTTAGCAAAGAATTCTCTTCAAAAATATTTACCAAGCCCTGCTGAAACTCTGTTTCTCTAAAGGGTCCCCCCCAAGAGGAAAAGCACCACAGGAAAGGGAGTCGATAACAACTGATCTCATTGCTTAACATTTTGTGGCAGAGGAAAAGTTCCTGGTGAGAGCCTCACCTTCCAGCAAGGTCCTGCTGCTCCCCTTGATTCGCGAGTTACTTCTGGGAGGGTGCAGAGCTTGGCTGAGCTGTCTTCTTTACAGACATTTAGCTCTGCAATTAATGGTTGACTTGGTGCTCTGCTAGCAGTTACAAGAAGAAGGGAGATAAAAGGAACAGAAATTGACAGTGGGCATAATGAAAAGGTTTGCCCTTGGAAACACAACACAATTTGATGTTTTCCTTAAACATCATGTCAGATTAACTGAGAACTAGATAAACACCACATTACCACCATTGATTAAAGTTGGGGAGATGAGTAGCTTTTGAAATGGGATTCAACAAAATACAAGACTCACTATATTCTGTACTGATCTACGAGCAATTAAAATGCGGCTTGTTTCAGAAATTACCAGAAGGTTACATATTTGATAAGATGTTTAGCCACCTCATTTTCTACCCCCACCCCTTCTAGCCTATAAATTGGTAAAGAATCTCTGGAATGGGGAAATTATTTAAATAGATGAATAGCTGATATGATACAAACTTTTTCTTTTCTTTTCTTTTTTTGACGCAATGGTCCGAGATGAAGATCTACCCTCAAAATGTTTCCTAGGTTTTTTTTTTTTTTTTTAACATTTTTTCCCTATTAACATTTATTGTCTTTATTTGAGCTTCTTTGTTACTGACTACTTATTTATTTATTTATTTACTTATTTATTTTAAGCTTCACGCATCCTAACAACATGCGCCTGCTTTCCCGTATTCGTTTGAATTAAGAAGGATCTTGTATTTCACTTCTCCTGACTTAAGCTTAATTCCATCAGCAGGGCCATCTGTGACAATGACTGTACCCCTACCAGAGGAATGGCCTTTCTGGATCTCACAGCTGATTTAGTTTCTTGTGATAGAAATGATTTCCCTTAATTTGGTTAGAGCTACACTGACACAAGGGTTCATTAGGACAACCATTTGCTGGCAATTCAATTTCAAATTAAATACACTTTGTTGTAAATTTTATTACTTTTAAACTACTGTATCTATTGTCTTTAATGGCCCTATTATACAGTTATGAAGGTAAACAGATTTCATTAGTAAACATCAAACATGTTATGTTAACCGGAGTGAAATGGTTTCCTCAGTTTCTTTCTTTGTTCTCTTGGCAAGCATGGCATGGCATGGCACTCATGAAATATCTTAAAAACTTAATCTAAATAATTAGATGCTGAATTCATGATTATAATCCTAAAGGAAAAAAAAAAAAGATCCTTAGTCGCAATCCCAGTTCTTTGTAATTAAAGGTTTTCTAAAAATAACTTCCTTAGTTAAACAGGAACATCAAAAGGTTAATACACAGGTTTAACATGGTATCAGGTACCTTGAGTTAAGTCTACAGATTTGTGTCCCCTTGGAGCAGTCACACCCTGGACCAGGAGCCAGACCAGACATGAGCTCATTTTGAATTAGGTCCTGTGGCATATTATTACCCTTTTTTTTTCACCTCATCTACAGCACTTATTAATTTTGTCATTATATAAATATATGTTTATATTTGCACATTATATAAAATCTGATTATATAAAAAGCCCCCCCAAAAGTCATCCATTAGTCCACCACTCAGAGATAAACCCTGATAAAATACTGAGGTTTATTCATCATAGGTAGCTAAACATACCTTTTTTTCTTTCTTTACAAAATAAGGCCAATGATATAAATAGTATTTTGTCACCCATATTTACCACTTTGTACTTTAAAGGCATTTTCTATGAGATCAAGGTTTTTTCCTACAACATAATCTTATTGTTGGGTACTTAGGATAGTTCCAATTCTCACTATTTTCATCCATAATTAAGTCTCTTGCATGTAACGTCTTGTCTACCTCCCTGGCCATTCTCCTGGTCTGTAGAAGATCCAGCCTAGAAGTGCAGTGATCACAGCTACCACCCTGAGTGTTGACTGACACCTCCTGTCTCCGTGGCCTGTTGGGAGCGCTGAAGACCCTTCACAGAGAGATAGGTCCCACTCCTGTTGATACCTTATTTTCCCTGCTATTTGGATCATAAATTAAGCAAAATGACAATGAATAAACAACATTGATGCCTACAACAGGATTTCTCAACCTCTGCCCTATTGACATTTTGAAGCACATAACCCTTTGTTGTGGAGGCTGGCCCACATTGTAGAATGTTCAGCAAGATCCCTGGCCCCTGCCCACTAGATGCCATTAACAGACCCTCTCCTAGTCCAGTAGTGACAACAGAAAATGTCTCCAGACATTGCCAAACGTCCCCTGCAGGCAAAATCGATCCCTGTTGAGCATCACTGATATGTAGCATGAATAGTTATTGCTGACTGCTTAGCGTGTTCAAGGCACTCTTTTAAATAAGTTGTATCTATTATTTTGTTTAACCCTGACTATAGTCCAACAAGGTATTCTTCTTCTGCTACACTGATGAACCGATGCTGGAGAATGTTGAATATCTTATCTGAGGTTGTATAGCCCTAAGAGGTTAAGCCCAAGATTCAAAGTGGGAACATCTAACTTGAAACCCCCTCTGAACCGACACCCACTACTTCTGTCTCTCCTCTCCTGGCATGGAGAAGCAGCAAGTGCCACCCCCAGATCTTGGAAGTTCCTACATTGGCTCAAGGATATAGTGGTAAACAAGACATGGCTCCCAACTATGCGCCATCACCAGAATGCCCCATCGCCAACAGTTGAATATGAATGATAGGGCACAGATAAATTTCAGGAGGAAAGGAGGTCACAGTTTCCACAAGCCTGATCCTCAGGGTCAATCAAACTGGGGTGTCTGGTACCTATAATTGATCCACATTTAATCTAGAGTGAAGCATAAAAAAGAAAAGAAAATGCATTGACTCTACCAGGAAGGAACATAATTCTTGCAGGTTTTGTCGGTCTTTAAATGGGACATAGGGATGTACTGATGGAGTCCTTCCCCTTCAAATTTCAAATCCTGTATCAAAGAAAACAGAAATGAAATAAAATTGATTAAAAATTCACTTGAAACACTACATGCAAAAGTGGGTTTTTCTAAGACCTGGATATGCTTGCCCTAAAGGTTAAGTTTCCAGGAGACAAATAAAAACATGGGGGTTATACCTTTAGCAGCCCCCTTTTGTAGAATATGATTTTCCTCACCCTGCTTAGTTACTTTTGGCCAGGAAGGTGGAGAGAATAATAAAGAACATCAAAAAAGGAGGAGAAGAGAGAGAGAACTCAAGATGAAATCTTCAATCCTTTATAAGCAGTAATTCTGCCTTATGCTATGGGTCACACAGATCAACCCTCGTAGAGTGTAGGAGGGAACTACAAAAATGTGCTAATAGGAGGCCAGGACCCTGACTCCATAGCAATCATGAAAGCCAGACAAGCAAATGTTGGCGGTTCCTCGATAAGTCTCAAGGTTGGAATGATTTTCCATGGCTCCCAGCCCTGTCCTCTGGACACCGGGTCCACTTCATAGATCTTCTTTGCTAGCCCATGTTTGCAGTTAAGTCATTTCCTCAGCTGGTTTCCAGCCAGTAGATTTGGGAGTCCAAGGTCTCCCTTATTTTGGTTTCTCTCTGTCTCTTTTAGTTCAAGCAGTTGGCTTTTCTGCTTATCTAATTCCATTTACAACTCTGTGAATCTTAGAAGAGTTCACTTCATAAGACAAAAACCAAACCCACAAATCTCTTCAAGACTAGGCCTTCCCTACCACAGGCTTCCACTGAAAGAATGCCATGTTATGTGCTTGGTTTTGATAAATAAGTTTCTTGATACAGCTCTGCCAAAAGAAGCTCTAAAATAAGTATGTGAGATCTAATAAAACATCAGATTCGACTAAATAAATATTCTTGAGTTTAATGGCATATTAATTAGCAGTGAGATTTCATAACAACAATGCTCATCTATGTTTACTGACCACTGATATCCTACTGGGCATTGTACTTCATTCAGTTTCTTATTCTGTAGATATCTATTATGGTTTTGTTTTATGCCAGACACAGTGCTAGAAGCAGGAATACAGTGGCATATAAAGATTTATATTATATCTGACATTATAAATTCATCTTTCTAGTGGACATAATAAATAAAATTAACTGGAAAAATAAACAAAACAATGACAAGGATGGTAGGAACAATCCAAAGAACAGTCTGGAGAAGACTTTTAAGGGACAAGGTTGTGGGAGGAAGGTTAGAAAAGAATGATTTTTTAAAACGAGACCTGAGTTGAAGAAGAGTTTATCCGTGCAAAAAGCAAAAGAAATTAATGCTCCAGGCAGAAAGAACAGTATGTACAAAAGTCCTGAGGTAGGACATAGTTTTATATATTTAAAAAAGAAAATCAGTGTGGCCTAAGTACAGCCCCGAAGGAGAATATAGGAAAACTGGGCTAGAAACATAAATAGGTTCTTGCTGGACTTGCAGGTGATGTTGATGTTAACTGATCTACATATTATGTGCAACAGGGAAGCCAGTAAAAGGTTTAAGTAAATGAGTAGTAATTATCTGTCCTATGTATCACCAGTGATGAAAACTTAAAAATATTAAATGCATGTTTATTTATTCTTCTTTCCTATAAATTATGTTTCTCAGCAAAACTCAGCTACTATAGCTACAGATAATTGGAGAGGGGAAATGTCTTCTCAATATGGAGGACACTAAAAAGGAATCACAACTGGGGAGCCTGGGTGGCACAGTCAGGTGAGACTCTGACTCTTGATTTCAGCTCAGGTCATCATCTCAGGGTCATGAGATCGAGTCCCCAGTCAGGCTCTGTGCTCAGTGCAGAGTCTGCTAAAGACTCTCTCTCCCTCTCCCTCTGCACCCCCCAAATAAATAAATAAATCTAAAAAAAAAATCACAACTAAAATGCATAAGACAGAAGGGAACCTTTCCACTTTTGCTCCTACTGGATTATGAACCGGAGAAGGAGGTAAAAATAAGGGAACCAAGCAGCTAAATGTGCATGAGGAGTGGCTTTTTCTCACCCCAACCCTTCCTCTCCAAGGCAGAAATCCTTCGGAATTACAGAAGAAGTGTGAGACAGTTGGAGGAGAAATCAAACAATAGAAAGGTCATGCCAGGCTTTCAATTCAAATTCTGAGAAGAGACACATCTCATGGTACCCCATGTACCAACATGGTCGATGTGACATTAGTTAACCGCATTAGAGCAAAATGGAGCTTTGTTGTGGTTAATCACCAAGAAGGGCCAAGTTTAGGATCTATATCGGTGAGGGTCCCAGCAGAAACATATGCATTCTCAAAATTAGATGACTGGAGGAGGAAGATTTATTCATAAATGTATCATTACAAAGTTGTGGATTTAGGAGCAGGCTGTTTCCACTGTTAGGCTTGGAGGGTTGAGGAGACGGAGTAGTAACCAGACCCTGGAAGGGGAGTCATATAAGGTCACCTGTCTTGAGTAGAACAATGACCCTGGGAGGAGGGATTAAGGCAGCTCAATGCAGGGAGGGCAGAACTATCTATCACATGACCTCTCTTCTCCCTTTCCTAACCCTTAACAACACTCCCTATTAATGGGAAGCAACCAGAAGCCATAGGGAATAGTAACCCTATGGATCTGCCCTCACTGTCTTGTGTGACAGAAAACAATATAGATTTAGCCTGGCAACCTTACCGAGGAGCTAATGGTGTACATAGAATAAGCTATAGGGTGAACCACTTCACAAAACTAGGAAGTTTTGCTGATGAATTAAATGAGGAAGATGAGGGGAAATAAAAAACCAAAAATGAATTTCAAATTTCTGGCCTAAGTCAATGTTCTCTAGTGCCATTTACTGGGATAGGAGAGATGGGATAGATAATGCAAACAACAGTTATTGTTATTGTGTTTTTTTTTTAATTTTATTTATTTATTTGAGAGACTGAGAGAGAACATGAGCGGGAGGAGGGACAGAGGGAAAAGCAGACTCTCCGTGGACCAATGTGGATCCCTGGACTCTGGGATCGTGTCCTGAGCCAAAGGCAAATGCTTAACCAACAGAGCCACCCGGGTGCCTGCAAACACGGTTTTGAGGAAAAAAATATCAGCTTCCAGGTTGGACATGTTAAATTTGCAGTGTTTTTGTGATACCCACATGGCAATGGTAAGCAGAAGTGAGATAGGGAGCCTGACCGTAAGAGGAGAAATCAGAGCTTCTGGCTGTCACCAGCAAGATAATGGAATTTAGGTGATGGGAATGAGTGAAACCACCTTGAGACACTTCTAAGCACCTCTGGAGTCTGTCATTTGATTCTTAAAACAGCCCTAGGATGCCTATGCTCTGAGCATCAAACTGATTCTGCAGATGGGTAAACTTCAGGTTCTTGCCCAAGGTTGTAGCACATGGTGGAGTCTGTAGCCATCTCTCTGGGTTTCCAAAGCTCAGTTCTTAATCCATGGAATTGGCCCTTCACGTAGTCGCCTTGCTGTTTTAGAGACTACATGCATAGGGTGACCGTTTTCTTCACTCACTTGACCCCATATAGTTTCTATTATTAGCCCTTCACCCACATCCTTGTAAAAACAATTAAGATTAGGATCAATGGCTGTATATAGTCCCTTGGAAATGAATAAAAAGGGCCAAACAGTAAAACTTTATTAAAACAGGAAATTTTCCTTTGCACCAACCATTTTCCAAAAGAGATCAAACAGAGCCAGCATGGTTTGCAAAGAGAATGAATGCCCTCATGGAGCTAACTATTTTCAAATCCTCTCAAGTATGCAAGAAACATCGATTATTTATTAATGATGAACTATTTAAAATTTATCACCTCATTAAAGGAAGATTTTATTACAAACTTTATGATATAACAATTATTTCATGCAGCTTTGGTCGTATTTCTTCTTCCATATAAAATAACTCTTTTTTGTATAGAGTTTATTCCAAAATATTTTGCAACACAGACTTTCCACCATATCCTATTCATCTGAACAAGTGATGGTTTGTTATAATTGGGGATCACCCAGAGAACACTTTGTCAAAAATGATCAGTAAATACTGTTGCTAAACCAGAAATTAAGATAGCTATGTTCTGCATATTTATCCAACATCTAAACAAAATTCAAAATATTCCCTATTAGATATCACTAAAAATTTAAATATTGACTTCCCAAAAATATGTCTTCATACTTTCCTGGTCTGAACCACCTTTTCTAACAAAAGTATGAAAAAATGACAAGGACAACAAGATTGTTCTAGATGCTTCTATATTCAAAAAAACCAACATAAGATAATGACTCTAAATGTTGCTAGTTTTTTCATAAATATCCAAAGATATTTATGAAATATATATATATATTTCATAAATATTTTTCATGAAATATTTCTATTTCCTTGTCTCTTTTTTTTTTTTACAAGTAATGTTAAGTCACCTAAGAACCAGTTGATGTCTATTTTTCATTTTATCTAACAGTGAATTCTTTACTTGGCTGCTATTATTCAGACTCTTTTTGCCTATGATAATGGCTAGCACAGGGAAAAAGAAAGAAATGGAGGACATAATTCAATTTTAGCTAATATTTGTTGAGTACCTGTAATATCCTAGGCACTAAACTATGGGGATTTTATATAACAGCCTCTGAGTCCTCACATTAACTCTTTCAGGTAAACACTATTATTATGCTTGTTTTTGAAGTGAGGAAACTGAGCAAAGCAAGATTAGATCAAGCCTGGAAAACTGGCCTCTAGAACACATGTTCCTAATCCCTATATTATGGAGTTCTGAGTTTGATTTTTTAAAAATATTTATTTATTTATTTATTTGTTTATTTATTTAAGAGAGAGCAAGAAAGCACAAAAGGGGGAGTCAGGCAGAGGGAGAGGGAGAAGCAGGCTCCCCACTAAGCAGGGAGCCCAATGTGGGGCTCAATCCGAGGACTCTGGGATGATGACCTAAGCTGAAGACAGACACTTAACCGACTGAGCCACCCAGGCACCATGAGTTTAATATTGTTTAACCATGT